CTTCATTTAGATATGCACAAATGGTATAAAAATGGGGCATGGATAAGTCAAAAAGAACTCTTTCAATAAGCATAAAATAAAAATAAGTAATAAGAAATCATTGTATCATTATTTAATTGGCATCATTATTATCCCTAACAGGACATAATAGAATGATGTATTTTTACGATAAATACCATATTTTTCTTTCACCATTTAACCACTTTTTTGTTGGACATCTGTATTCTTGGTATGTGTATCATTTTTAATTCTGGTAAAGTATATGTATCTAATTGGATGCCTGTGGCTCATGCCTGTAATCCTAACTACTCAGATAGCTAATATGTGAAAAACACAGTTCAAAGTCCATGTGACTCTTATCTCCAATTAATCATCAAAAAGCCAGAAGTGGAGTTGTTGCTCAAGTGGTGGAGTGTCAGCCTTGAGGAAGGCCTTATGTTCAACTCCTACACGCGCATTTGCATGGACACGCATACACACACACACACACACACACACACACACACACACATAGAATTTACCATTTGTAAGAGCACAGTTCAATAGCTTTAAGTTTATTTTCATTATAACGCAGTTTTCGCCACTTCCTACCTCCAGGGCTTTCTCATCTTCCCACGTGGAAGGTCTGCACCCATTCCACAATTGCAGTCCTTTCTCTCCATTTTGCAGCCCCTACAAACCAGCATAGTCTCCGGGAGAAAAATCTTCCTCTTTTTGAGTTTCTGTCTTTATGAACTTAACTGTTGTAGGCACCTCACATGTGCATGGAATTGTACAGTATTTGCCATTTTATGTCTGACATTTTCCTTAATATGATGTCTTGAAGATTCATTACTGTTATAGCACATGTAAGAAGTTCTATTCCTTTTTAAGACTAAATAGTACTCCACTATGTTCAGACCACATACCTATTCATCTTATGGTAGATATTAGGATATCTTCTATTTCTAGATATTTTGAATAGTGCTTCTATCAACATGAGTGTACAAATATCTGTTTGACTCCCTATTTTTAATTATCTGTGTGTGTGTGTGTGTGTGTGTGTGTGTGTGTGTGTGATGCTGGGATTTAAACTGAGGGCCTTGCACTTGCTAAGCATATGCTCTATTTTTTTTAATTTTTTTTGGGGGGTCCGGTCATGGGGCCTGAACTCTGGGCCTGGGTGCTGTCCCTCAGCTCTTCAGCTCAAGGCTAGCGCTCTATCACTTGAGCCACAGCGCCACTTTCGGCTTTTTTCCTTTTGCTTATGTGGTGCTGAGGAATCAAACCCGGGGCCTCAGGTATGCAAGGCAAGCGCTCTACCACTGAGTCGCCTTCCCAGCCCCATGCTCTATTTTTTTTTTAACAGTGGCAATATATTCACTTATTGGTATACAATTGGATACTTTTTAAAATAATTTCCAATACTATAACACTTTTACTTAAAAATTACCATCAAAATTACTGACACTGGTAGTTTTGCTTCAATACAAACTACTGAAACATAAAAGTTGAGAAAGATTTGTGGAAAATTTTCACATATTAGAGTGACTCATGAAGACTTCATTTACTCAATGCATTAAATAAAATTGCATTATAAGGCATACTCTAGTTATTGGTACTTCTTCCCATAATTGTTTTTCATAAGAGACTTCAGAATAAAAGGTAAAAGCAGTTTCTCCCTTGTGACAATTTTACAACATGCCATGCTCTATTTTTTTAATCCATGCCTCCAGTCCTTTTTGCTTTGGTTACTTTCGAGATAAGGTCTCGCTTTTTGCCTCTTCTGGCTGGAACACTATCTTCCTATTTGTGTCTTTCACAAAGCTGGGATGACAGACATATGCCACCACAAGAAGCTTTTATTAACTCAGGTGGAGTCTTACTAACTTTTTGCCTAGACTGTCTATGAACCATAATCCTCCTGATCTCTGCCTCCCAAGTAGTTAAGATTACGGGTATGAGCCACGACATTCAGTCTTACTCTTTGATTTTCTTGGGTATGTACTCAAAAGTAGAATTACTGGATATGATCTTAGATTAAATAAGAACAGATACCTAGAAATGACTTACCTTAGAGTTGTAAATACAGAAACACACTAAAAGCATTTAAAATACAGAACACTTCATAATTCCCTTGTTTTGTTATTAAATAGCCAGATTTATTTCTCTGGGCCTTGAGAGAGAGCTGGGAGATACAGAAGAACCAAATGCAGTAGTGGAAGCTGATGAGATTCCCAAGGACAGAAAATGGAGTGGAAAGAGGAGGAGTAAGAACAAGACTCACAGACGGTAACCTTCTAAGAAACACGGAGGTGACATTAGTGAAGGACAGCAACGCTAGGGGTGGGGAACCTTTGTACTGCCAAGGACTATTTGGACATTTATAACATGCATGGGCCATACAGGACTTATCAGTCCAGCCAGGTGGACTGTGAGCAGCCAATAAGAAGCATGTGTGTGTCTATTCTGTTATACACCAAACGGTTTCACAGGCTTCATGCAGTCGACGGGCTGCTTATTCCTCACCCCTGTCAGGAACTAAAAGGATGGGAGGTTAAGCCCAAGAACAGACCACTAGAATTACAGAGGTAGGATGACAATTCTACAAGCTAACAAATTCCAGAAGGCTATAGTCATGAGTCCTGGTCTGATAAGAAATTAAGGAACTGAGTTTAATGAGCTAATGAGATAAGAGCATTTGAAAAGGTCTTAAATCCATCTTTTTAAAGACTACAAGAAAGATAAACGCAGGGGTGAGAGAGAGAGGGGGGAACAGGAAAGAGTGGCAGAGGTGTAAGGAAAGAGCAATTCTGAAATCCCTTCACAGTACATAATTAATATGCACTAATATTAAATAAGCTGAATATTTAATGAGTCCCAACAAAAGCAAAGCAACCCAAGCTGATGGCAGGAAGGGAGATAGAGAGAAAGATACCAAGCAGGACTTTCCCCTCAGATTCACTTGGAGTTTGGGAGATTGCAGTCAATAATGATAAGGACAGTGGGCATCTAAGGTTGTTGTAAATGTATGAATCCTCAAACTCTCAGGAGACAGTTCTAAAAATGTAGTCGATTAAATGTGATGCAAGAATAAAAACAACACTGAGATACCATCTTACACTAGTCTGAATGGCCCACATCCTAAAGTCAGCAAACGACAAATGCTAGAGGGGATGCGGAGAAAGAGGAACCTACTGCATTGCTGGTGGGAATGTATACTATACAACCACTTCAGAAAGCAGTCTGGAGATACCCCAGAAAGCTAAATATAGACCTCCCCTATGACCCAGGTATACCACTCTTAGGCATGCACCTCCATGTTCATTGCAGCAGTGTTCAAAATAGCCAAGATTTGGAAACAACCCAGATGCCCCACTACTGATGAGTGGATCCAAAAATTGTGGTACCTATATACAATGGAATATTATGCAGCCATTAGAAAGAACACAATAATGGCATTTGCAGGGAAATGGATGGATCTAGAGCAGATTATTTTGAGCAAAGTGAGCCAAGAACAAAGAGACAAACGGCACATGGTCTCCCTGATATGTGGATGCTAAAGCCAAAATACAAGGAGCTATGACAAAGTAACAGAACTCAAGAAACAAAGGACAGCCACCCATTTTGTCATATCATTGCTAAATGACTCCATGTTCTAGACCATATATATGGTAGACCTATGCACACAACAGAGGGAAGACAGGAGGAGGAACAGAATAAGCGGGAATGGCCTACACTAAGCAAAAGGAAAGAAATGTAAACATCACCTGATGTGGAAAAAATAACTTGTATTATCAAAGCTCATAGAATTCACAAACTGTATAGACCATGATAATGACAATTTGCCTTGTGAAGGTTAAAATGTATGTGTGACTCTAAATATCACTATTCCACAATACTGTGAAATATGTGAAATTTATGTAATCACCTAATCTCAATTAAAGAGAAAAGTGAGAGAAGGGATGGGTTAGGAGAGATGGGTGGCAATGTTGTAGACACTTTGTACTCTATACTGTTTTGTAGAACGGGAACTTCTTTGTACAACTACTTAAAGATAATAATAAAAAAGACAAAAAAATCTACTATACCTACAACCAAATGGACATAATAATAATAGTAGTAGTAGTAATAATAATAATAAAATAAATGTGGTGCAAGTTGCAGAGATTAGCCTAGCTTCCTGATAGCCATTCATTCTGATGCAAGTGAGTTTTTTGCAGAGTAAAATCTTGATAGAAAATCAAGGATTAAACTGAATAAATGTAACCACATATTTGGGTTTGGGTATTTCATAACCCCATAATTAATGTCTTGAACAATTTCTTGCATAAATGTGGAATTTGATAACTATCCTAGTACTTCAAGGAAACCTATGGCCATTAGAAATGCCTAGAAGGAAGAATATATATTTGCATATTGAAAAGTAATGCCTCAGGAGGCATCTTGGCTTGATGGCTGATAATGATAGCACTTGAAAGTCTAGAATTTTCCATACTTACATAATATTCCCTTACTTCTATGAAAAACTGAACAATTCTTGGCTGGTAAAGAGGTAACAAGTTAGTTGGGCATGTCATAAATTAACTCCAAACAGCAAAGGCAAATAAGCAATCTCAACTTCAGAAATGATCTTTTGGCTCAGACTTCAATAAACACAGAAATGGCACTGGGTTAATCCTTTACTTGTTGTAGGCCAAAGATACAATCCTGATTATTCCCAGGAACTCAGAAAGGAATGGCCGGATGAAGGTATTCAAAGTAAAGAAATAGCGAAAACAGGGTCCTACGATGGGAACAAATAAAATTACGGCATGAAGACTGCAGCAATAATTCAAGGAAATCCATTATTGATGAGAATCCTCACAGCCACTCGAAGCATTCTAAGTGTTGGGGATGGAGGACTAAGTAGCTGCTGAGTCTAAATCCTTCACAGGATAGCACAGGGGCAAGTCAGTCACATGACACTGGAAGACTCTAGCCTTAGCATTGAAGGAAGGATGGTCAAACAAAGATCTTACCTTTTCACAAAGAAAGTTGCACAGGAAATAAAACAGCCATGAGAACAATAAATTTTGAAGCGCCATTAATATCGTGCATTTTTACGCATGACGTGGATTGTCAGAGAGTAAGAGGATTTCTTTCTCCTACAATACTCTTAAAGGAGCCACCATTAAAAAATAATCATTGGCCGGGTGCCAGTGGCTCACACCTGCAATCCTAGCTACCCAGGAGGCTGGGATCTGAGGATCGCAGTTCAAAGCCAGCCCAGGCAGGAAGGTCTGTGAGACTCTTATCTCCAATAAACCACTAAAAACCTGGAAGTGGCACTGTGGCCCAAGCGGTAGAGCACTTGCCTTGAGCTGAAGAGCTGAGGGACAGCACCCAGGCCCAGAGTTCAAGCCCCATGACCGACAAAAAAAAAAAGTAATCATTGGACACGTGTAAATGAAAATACATTCACCGACTACTGCTTTTGAAAAAGAACAGAAGGGAAAGCATTCCATTCCAAAACTTTTAAGGTAATCTTGAATTCAATAAATATAAGTAGTAAGAATTAACACTTTGAAATTGGTTATACTATGGTTGGTGGGGGGGGGGAAATACAGAGAAAAAGAGGGTGAAGAGAACGAAGAAACAAATGAGGTGATCAGGACTTTTTCTTCTGAACTCTGCAACCCTGCTCAGCACTGGATCCACCTGTTCTCGATTCGAAGATCAGAGAGAACCCCACCCTCCTCTTGGCCACTCCTTCACACACTTGCTTTCATACCCAGAAGATCCTCTAAGACTTCTGTGTCCTTCAGCTCCCAGAATGATCTTCACTGCCTCACTTTCAGCAAACTACACTACTTCATGGGTGTCTGTGTGTTTTGTTTGTCTGAGACAGTTTCACTCGATTACCAAATTTGACATCCTCCTGTCTCAGCTTTCCAAAGTGCTAGGATTACAGGCATGCATCACCTCACCTAACCTACAAGACTGCTTGTTATTTTTTTGAGAACAGACACCATTTAACACTGGTCACCTCCAACTGACCATTCTTTCTTTTCTATTATATCTTTTGTCTTGGGAAGTTCCTCTATGGTTCTACCCCTTCAGTAGGTTCTCTTCTCTCTAAACATTCAAAGCAATATTCTATGGCCTAAGTGTGATGCCTTCCCCCACCAAAGTCCTCTTGGAATTACCTTGATACTATGGCTCAAGTGGTAGAGTGCTAGCCTTGAGCAAAAGGAGCCCAGAGACAACACCTAGGTCCAGAGTTCAAGTCCCAAAAATAGAAAAAAGAAGAAAGAAGAAAAGAAGAAGAAGAAGAAGAAGAAGAAGAAGAAGAAGAAGAAGAAGAAGAAGAAGAAGAAGAAGAAGAAGAAGAAGAAGAAGAAGAAGAAGAAGAAGAAAGTTAAGTCTTCCTAGGTGATTAATTAAGAAGTCTCAGCCCTAATGAATGAGACCAATGTAAATAACACCAGGAGGGAAAAATGGCATACATGCACAATACAAAGCAAAGTGTGACTTTCATAAAAACTCGAGTATGAAAGCATCCAAAGGAGTTTCAGAAGAAGAGGGCAGCCAACGAAATCAAAAGCTGGTGAAGCATCCTTTCTCTAGGAGGCTGGGGACCAAGATGAGTCCACTGGCTTTGGAGCCCAATGAGATGAGAAAGAATTCAAGCAGAGCAGCAAGACAGAGATGAGGAGAGAGCAAACAGGAGCCAGCATCGCCTTTTAATGTTAAGCTGGGACTCTCCACTTCCCTCATGAGTGAGTAGCTGATGTTAGACTGGCCCTCCCATCATATACAACTATAAAGTAAGACACAATGTGTAAGTCAGCATGAGACATTGGATGACAGAACTGAAGGAGAAATAAGAAACCCAGCTTTCTGCCCAGAAGCATTTTCTAGACCCTAGCAGAAGAGGCATCCCAAGCTCAATTTGGTGTCCAACTGCAAGACAAAGACCCCAGTGCAGAAAGCCAGCCCCCTCACCTCTCTACCCATACTTCGCTTTCTTCCTTGAGGCACAAATCACCACTTGAAATTATAAATTTGATTTTGGTTGTTGTTGTTACCATTATTATTGGTCTCTCTGGAACTTCTAAGCCTCTTACAAGTCAAGGCCCTTGTGAAAAATGGTTGTATTTGTCAGGCATCCTAGAGTCAATGGGTAATATAGCCTTTGGCAAGAGGTGATCCAATATCTCTGGTACTATCTATTTTTATTTATTGTTTTCACTGTTATACCCCTAAACCTTGGGGTATTTGTGTGTGTGTGTGTGTGTGTGTGTGTGTGTGTGTGTGTGAGTGTGTGTGTGTAGCAGTACTTGGCACTTGTAGGCAAATGCTCTACCAGTGGACAAAAACCCCATCTCCTTTTTTTGCTTTGGTTATTTTTTAGGTAAGGTCTCATATGTTTTTGCCCAGGGCTGGCTTAGACAGCAATCTTCCTATCTGGAGCTTCCTGAGTAACTAGGACAACACCACCATACCTACCTAGCCTTTGTTGAGATGGGTTGCCTGACCTCAATACATACTTGGGAATGATTAAAACTTCATTTTGTGAAGTGGATAATGAGGACATAATAACAGACTATAAAGACAGTATTTTCAAACTACATATACATGACTGGGAAGAAGAGACCGTTTGGAATCACAACAATATTTTTGCAGAGAAAGGGGGTGCACAGGACATGTATATGTCTGAAGGGTTTAAGTTTTACTGGGTAGCAAGATGGTGGTGTGTGATCTCCAAGGGTGCTTCTGGAAACTGGAGTTTGGAACGGTCTGCAAGAATGACATTTGGCAAGGGAAGGAATGACGCTGTCCAGAGAGAAATGTACTCTTTACCTGACTTATGTAACTGTCACCCCTCTGTACATCATCTTCATAAAACAATTTTTTTTTTACAATTGAAGAAAAAAGGAAAAAGAGAATGATGTTTGGGGAGAGCATGGAATGTAATGGGAGGGAGGAATTCCTCTATTTCCAGTTGATTTTTTGTTTCTCTCTGCATAACGAATCATCCTACACTTAGTGGCTTCAAATAATTTTTTAAATAATATATTGTTTCTCTCACTTGTGCAGTTTAATGTTGTCACTTTCATGTCTGCAGCTGCAATGACCAGAGCAGTGGGGGCCGGCAGGCCTTGCTCTGCGCGTGAGCTCTTTGGGTGGACAGCTTGGACTTCCTCACAGCATGGCCGCCTTGGAGACACGGCATTTGATTTCCTGAGGAAGGAAACAGGAGCTGCCAACTTGCTGAAGTCTTGAACTCACAAAGCCCTGGACATCCCTTTCACCAGATTCAGTCACAAGGCCAGCCTAGATTCCAGGACAAGGAAAAATACATATTATTCTGAATGTCCAAGGGAGAGAAGAATAGCTTCTATGAGGCTTAGAAAGGAGCAGAGCCACATGGCAGCAAAGGCCAAGGTGAAGATGAGTTCACAACAGTGATCTGCTACAGTACTGTGGAGGTCATTGTGGAATCTAGGAGGTCTGGAGGCTGAAGGGTTGAGGTGTCATAAATAAGACCATCTGGACCAGTCAGTGGTTGCCGGCGGATACAGTGAGGGGCTGAAATCACCAGGGAACTACTAAGTAATGGGTGATGGTAAGAAGGGTGTGGGGGGACTGGCAAAGGTAGAAGCTGGCCTTCAGAAAAGAGGAGAGTTGAACTGCTGCCTGTAGTAAGAGGAGTTCAAGAAGGTGACCCCTCCTCAAACCAGGAGCAAGAATAGCGACCTCTGTGGGAGAATGTTGGTTGGTAGGGGAATTACACCACGACAGAAAGCCAGGTTTTAGTTAAACGGGAGATACAGGAGGCCAAATTAAAAGGGGAAAGAATATTGGCGTATGTATTTCCCCCTGGGAAAGGACAGATGGCAGAAAGTTGTTGGCAAAAGGCAGTACTGAAATCCTGCTACTGGAGATGAGAATAGAGATTTGCTGGACAGCTGTGTTTAGGGCCCTATTTGAGGGATACAGGAATGGTAAGAGTCAAATATGAATACGTTGGGTGATAGAATGGCTCTCGTTCTTGCCTTCATTCACTCATGAGAGAAAGGAAAGGTAGATGTGAGCTGAATCACCCAGATTCACATCAAGAGTTTACATGCCATTGCTTCTGAGTTTCAAGCTATTCTTTCTCAAGGATGGCATGAAAAGTGTCAGCAAGGGACTGAGCACAAGAGAAAAGAGAAAAGAGAAGGACTGGCTATCTCAGAGAAGCCTGACAGAGCTGAACAACACACAGAAGCCCAAGACACGACGTCAGATTACAAGACCACGTCTCCCATGCTGAACACCTTTTTCTTCCTCTGTGGAAAGGGAAGTCAGTACATAGTCAGTATATAATTATAGTCATCTGACTAAAGGATGCATTCTCTCTCTCTCTCTCTCTCTCTCTCTCTCATGAAGCGAGAAGGTATAAGAAGTAAAACATTCTGTGACACTTTAGTGTTTAGGCTACAAGAAAACCGAAGTGAGGGAACGTCACCTCAAAGGCATTTTTTGTTGTTGTTACACACCTTGAGTCAAAGGATTGTGAAGTATTTTACACCACGCTGCTCCCTCCTGCTGCAAGATGGGGCAGCAGCCTTTCCCAGGCCCTCTAGAAGGCACTTATTGACTCCATTTGGTTTTTGTTATCTTGCTACCCCTATGCTCAGTTAGGACAGGCAAACGCACGGTATTGTTCATTAGGGGGAATGGGGAGGATGGTGATGAAATTGGGTGGGCACCATCTGAATTGAATTAAATGTCTTCTTGTTTATTTTGTTTTGTCTTTCACGATTCCCTCTAAAGAGGCAAAAGACTCCCGTGGAATGTGTTAGTTACTCCACGACAACAATTCATTCACCAGCTTTGGCTGCTTGAGCCAATGTGTGAGGTTTGTGCAGGGGTTGTGGATCTGAGCACAGGGCATGGGCAGGAGCCTTCTCCCCCCTCTGATTCATCTCCCTCCCCAGCCCAGGCCCCGCAAGCTGAGTCTCATGTGTGGTTAATATGGAGCCTTAAGAGAAAATCTGTCTCTTCTCTGTACTAAATAAAATAAGACAAAACCAAATATAAAACCACTGCCAAGT